CCCCCCCCCCCTCCCCTCACCCCGCCCCACTGCCTCTGAGCCTCCCAGACCAGGCGTCTGCCAGGGCTTCCAGGCCTCGCATGACTCCAGCAGTTCCTGGCACTGTGGCCCCTTGATAGCACACACAGTCAGGGCCTCCTGACGCTCTGGATGGCCCTATCCCAGATCCACCCTCCTCCCCTATCTATATGCTTGAGAGCAGGGCCCTTTTTTCCTTGAGTGTGTTAAGTAATTGGAGAAGTCTCCCTTTGGAAGCTGGAAAAATAAATACAGTGTTCACTCTTCTCAGAGGCTTCCCATTCTGTTGGAAAACAGATTAACAAAAAAATTTATTTTTTAAACCTTGCCACTGGGTGTTCTCAGTAAATGCTCTGAGTAGCAGTAGGCTCCGTGTGTTTTGGCCTTCTGGCTGTGTTTATTTATCCGTGCATGTTTGCTTTCCCGGCCTCTTTTGTGGCTCTGTATTTTAGTCCATGTGCTCGTGGCTGTGCCTGTGTGAGCTGCCTAGTAGCCATGCGTTACGTATTAAGTCTGTGTATCACTGTCACCTTCAAGGATCAGACTGCCAAGGATAAGGCCCTTCAGCACATGGCCGCCATGTCCTCAGCCCAGATCGTCTCGGCCACTGCCATTCACAACAAGCTGGGGCTGCCTGGGATTCCACGCCCCACCTTCCCAGGGGCACCGGGGGTGAGTCACGGCTGCATCCAGAAACGATGGCCCTGGAGGCATGGGGTCACCATGGGCCAACATGAAACTGACCACCTGGCACTTGTTATGATTTGGTCAGGTGTGAGAGAACCACCTTGTGGGGAACTGATGATGGGTGCAAAAAGGCGAAAGAAAGAAAGAAAGAAAGGGAGGGAGCCAGGGAGTGAGAGAGAGATGGGGGAGTGGAGGGAGCCTTCGTCCCTGAAGACATAGAATCAAGTATCACTTTTCCCGTGCCCTCCTGGGCTGTGATCTGCCTCTTTTGCTCTTTTTCCTAGTCCCTGGTCTCTGTTCCTGTGTCCTCAGGGTCACTTTATGGCAGCTAGCCCCTAAAGCAGCGGTTCTCAACCTGTGGGTTGCGATCCCTTTGGGGGTCGAACGACCCTTTCACAGGGGTCACCTAAGACCATCCTGCATATCAGATATTTACATTACGATTCATAACAGTAGCAACATTACAGTTATGAAGTAGCAACGAAAATAATTTTATGGTTGGGTCACAACATGAGGAACTCTATTTAAAGGGCCAGAAGGTTGAGAACCACTGCCCTAACGGAACAAAGAATTCTGTTAACATTTTCATTTTGTACCTACCAAGGACTGAGACACTAAATGTTATGGTCCCATTTAATCTTCATTATAATCCTTAATGCCTCTTATTGTTATTGCCATTTTACAGATGGGAAAACTGAGGTTACTTAGAAACAAAACAAGAGTTTGGGAACATGATCATAATCACATGGATAATGGTGTCAGGACTCAAACCCAGGGCTCTCTGACTTCTTTTACATAGTGCTGCCTCCAGCAGGGAGTCAGCAGGTACCAAAAGCCCCAGGAAAACTCACAGCAAAGGAGGTGTCTGCACTGCTGTTTGGAGCTCCTGGCTGGCCTCTTGTTTTGAGCTTTGTCCTCTTCCTGGCTGGGCCTTCGGTGCTGTGAGCTGAGGCAGCAGCATGTTACACAGGGAGCATTCAGAATGGAGAGGGAAGAGAAGGGCGGGTGGGTGCAGGGGTAGAGCAGTCAGATGAAAATATTTGTGAAGGCCCTGCAATAGACCCAGATCGCTGCCAGGTGTCGCTGCCTGTCCCTGCCAGTGGGGACTATCTGGAAGAGGAGCTAAAGGAGCCTTGGGTTGCTAGGCTGAGGACATAGGCGGCAGTTTTCTGCCCAGCAGTGACCACACCTGCATTTAGGGAGGGTCATTGCACCTGGCGGATGATCTGAACCCACCATCTTTAGCAGGGGTTGCAATGCACATGCATCCTGAACTGTGCTTTGAAGTGAACTCATAATCCTGAAGCCTCTTGCATTTTGCCTTCCAGTTCTGGCCGGGAATGATACAAACAGGGCAGCCAGGATCCTCGCAAGAGTAAGTCTGAGGAGGGGCCAGTATTGACTACAAGGGCCTAGGCACTGCCCACCCTGGATAGTGTTTTCCTGGGGCCAAACTGCCTCGGAGCTTGGAGGGGCGGGGAAAGGAGATTTAACCTGAGATCACTGACATCATCCCTCATTGTTACCTGCTGAAGCCAATAGGAAAGAGACTGCTTAGGTCCTGGAGACATGTAAATACCTCACTTCCGCCTTAAGTTTAGTGGTCATGTAGCTCAAAACAGGAAGAGGATTCCAATCCCTTCCTGGCTCTGAAGGGCAAAGCCTAGGGTCATCCTGAGAAAGTGCCTGCCCGAGGGAGGGCAGTGGGGTGATTCCATAGCCCATTCTGCCCCGGCTTTCCCTGTGGCATGGTGGCTAATAGAAAATCCCAATGATGCTTTGAGGGCCAGGGTAGCAAGCTCAGTAAACTAGCTCGTATATTCTCGAAAGAACTCGAGCTGTTTGGCCTAGAGAAGGCGAGCATTCCCAAGCCATGCCTGGGATTGGTGACCACGAACCTCCGTCTCTGGAGGGATGAGATGTTCAGAGGCAGATGTCCAGCTCCTCCCACTGAACTGGTGTGAAGCTGGTGGTGGGTCCCCAGCAGCCTGCTGGCCCCTCAATTGTCGGGAGTAACCCTCTCAGTCTTGGTGGAGCTCTGCCTGGCTGTGCCCCACTTGCAGGCAGGGAACCTAACACTGGGGAGAAGCCCAGGCCGAGTCCCTAGCCCTGGGAGGCCGAGGCCAGGACTGAGGTGTAGCCACTGCGACAGGCGCCATTTCTAACTCTCTCCATTCTCCTGTCCCCAGTGTCAAGCCCTTCGTGCAGCAGGCCTACCCCATCCAGCCAGCGGTCTCAGCCCCCATTCCAGGTGAGTCTCCGAGGGCTCCCTCTCATTTTGTTCCACAGCTGCATGTCCCCTCTGACTTGCAGAGCCATGGCTGCCCTCTCTGCACCCACATGTTTAAGGCCGGGGTTCGCCTGGATCTTAGAAGGGTCACAGGGGGTCCCTTTCCAGGTCCGCGATTCCTCTCAGTTACCTCATGAGTGCTCTTCAGATGCATTTTTTTAAGGAAACAGGAAGCCTGGTCACTTTCACTCAGCACCCTGGTCATCCTTGGAAGGGGAAGTTACTGTGGTTCCTTCCCCATCATTAACAGGCCGAATTGGGCAATCTAGATCCTAAAGGCAGATGGGGTTCATTCACCCTTTCCTAGATAAGTAGGTTTCAATTCCTAGTACCCTTTCTTCAAAAGAGAGCTGCCATGGAAGGCCACACTAGAAAACCTGTATCTGCTCCCCCTACACACACGTGCATGTGGAATGAGCGGTGGAGCCGCTCTCCTCTACAGACCCCAGGCTTATGCCCTCTGCTCCAACACCATGGAGCACTCTGAGGGAATATTCCATACTGCCGGTGGCTGCAGGCTTAAGAAAGGAGGGGGAGAAACACAAGAAGTGTCTGGCATGTGCCAACCTCACAGGAGATCTTTGTGAGCATTCATTCTGTCTTGCCCTGGCCCCCAGCTCAGCCCCTTTGTCCAGGAGTAGGTGTCCTCAGGCCACAGCCCATAGCGTGAGTTGAAATGGTCTTTACGGGGAGCCACACGCTTTATCAGGACACTGCCTCAGGGTCCTTGGTCAGAGTCTCACCCCGACCTCACATGACACTGGTGTAGCCGGCCTTTCTTCCTGGGTCATCTGTTTGTAGGGCCCTGCCCCCGATTGGCCTGTGGCCCAAGGGGAGGCAAATGGCCAGGATTAAAGGTGATGATTGGTCTTTCAGGGTTTGAGCCTGCATCAGCCCCAGCTCCCTCGGTCCCTGCCTGGCAGGGTCGCTCCATTGGCACAACCAAACTTCGCCTGGTGGAATTCTCCGCTTTCCTCGAACCACAGCGAGACCCAGACTCGGTGAGTGTGCTCAGAGAGGTGTGCCTCAAATCCAGCATTTGCTGTCCATTTCCATTCCCCTTCACCATCCTTTCCCCTGCCCTCATGCCTGACAGATAACCCGAGTGGATGTGGACCTGAAGGAATAGCCAGCCAGCTTTTCAATTAAGTAAAAGGTATTTCCATTGACAACTATGTTGAATTTAGAGCTGAACGATTGCGGATGCGTTGGACCTGACACTCCAGGGAACACTGGCGCTGAAGGGAACGGCCTTAATAGGCTCTTGCATTTGGTAAAATTTAACCTTTATTGAGCCTTGCCACATGACTGGTATTAAGCAAAGCTGTTTATATATACAGTTACATTTTACCCTCATCAAAACCTTATAAGGATAGGTACTGTCTGAGAGATGACGAAACAGAAGTTAAGCAATTTCCCTGAAGTCACACTGTTAATAGTTGATGGATTAGAGATTCAAACTTATGTTTTTCAAACTCAAGCCTAAACATTTAGCCAGGATTCTACACTGCCTTTCCAAGATAGCAGCTATGTTTTCTCACGATAGCAGGTTGTTATCTTCTTAAGGAGAAGTAACAAGATGGTACTTTAGCAATTGGACATAGAATGCATTGTAATATCATAAATACCAAGAAAGTTGGCATCTGGCCTCTATTTGATGTCCACCTGCCCCCCCTTCGAGTGCTGCCATCCCTCCCTGCTGGGTCCATCATTTCCCATACATATGTGCGCCTGCCCCCAGGAAGCCCAAGGCCTGGTCTCACTCCCACTCCTTGGCTGTGAGGATGAGCACTGCATCTGCATGTGGGCGAGTCCAAGGCAAACACTGGAGAAATCGTGAGTTTGTCTTTGGGAATCTTCACCAACCCCTTCCTGTGCTCCCTATCGCACCCACCTTGCTGATCTCCAGGGCCACTGAAAGCCATGCTTTCCGTGTATCTGCCGCCTTGCTGTCATTCTGTTACCAGAAAAAGTGTCACGAGTGATTTCGCCATCTGTTGTGAATAACGCAGATACTGAACACTCACGGGTGACCTCTCCTGGGAGGATTTGCACTTGAGCTTGGTGGAAAGCCTCTGGTGACAGGATGGGGGAGACGCCCTGGGCAGAGGCTTCCACCAGCCATCACCACAGCAGAGGCTCAGGGGAACGCCGTGCAGCCACTGACATTTCTGTCTATGAGTTGTGAACTCTGGCAGCTGGGAGAAAAATAGAGCCTGCTCCAAAATTAGGGGAAAATGAAGGCGATGTAAGTAGGTCATTGGGCCTATTAAGGCAGGTATAGGAAAATAAGGTTATTGAAAACAGGGAAGAGAAAGCCAACTAGATCATTTTTTTCGTAGCTGAGTGGTTTTACAGGAAGGGTGATGGCAATGCCCTTTCCCTGATTGGCCTTTCCCTGATGAATGAAAAGGTTTGGCTTTGTAGCTTTGACTCTAATTCATGACTTTAACGGTCCTAAAACAAACGGAAGGCCCGGTGCAAGTCAACATTCCTGGGCCTCTTGGAAAAGTAATTATATTTTAGGGGACCCAAGATGGGGACTGAGAGAAATTGGAATTCAGTCAACAAATACTTTTTAAACACTACATGCCAGCCCCTGATTTAGGTGTTAGGGATTCAACAGCAAAGGAAACAGTCCTTATTCTAGTGGAGCCTCCCTCCTAGGTAGAGACGACAACAGTAACCACCCCAGCAAGTGCATGCACACGCACACACACACACACACACACACTCACACAGAATGGGAGGTGATGCTAAGTGCTTATGTGGAATGGTGATCCTTCTGCACAGGTGAAAATTACTTGCTCTTTAGAATAAAAAGGTATAATTTCAGAAAATGTCATATGTTGATGCTTTTGGCTTGTTACATTATGGTTTTAAGTTATGTCTATCAGATAATGCCAACCAAAACTGCATCACTATTCTGAAATTATTTTACTAAATCGTAACATCAGTCTCACTTGTTAATGTTGCTTCTAACATTCTGTGTTACGAACCCTGATTTTGCAGTGATACACAAATGAATTCACGGCAGGTTGCGACTAGTACATGTATTTGATTTTAGTGGAGATGTGAGGGTCCGGAAAGAGAGTTCTTATGCTAGAGGAAGCAGGGAACCCTTGGAGAAAAAGGTGACTGAGGAATTGAAATGGGGAAGAATTAACAAAATTATTTACAGCACTTTGATGATGCCTCAGGCACCAGCTTGTCGGATTATATAATATGTACTTTATTTTGCAAACATGAGGTGCTGTTATAGTGAACATGTAATGGCACTTCAGGACCAAGGTCACACTGAAAAACTTGTAGCATGTGAAAGGTTCCAACTATAGGAAAATATAAAGTCACCTAAAATAATTCACCTGGGACATTTAAATGAATGTGGATGTACTCTGCTTAAAACTTTAACATCAAATATTAAGCACGTTAATTTGATAAGGAAGCCAACAAGGTGACAAATAATTAAAGGTCCCCAAACAGATTTAACTCTGTGTTTGGAGATCTTTGTCTCCATGTAGGCATGCACACATTTCTCCCTGATTCTCCATAATGGCTTAGGCTCATTGGAATCATGGGGTTATAGATAGTGCTGGCAAAAAGCCAATAAATAATTCAATGCGCTGGGTGCAGTGCTAACTGTTTTTCATTAGTGATTTCTTCTATCCTCATCATAGCCCGGTGAGGTAGGTAATTCTGTTCCATTCTGTAGGAGAGGTTTGGAAAGATTGCTGTCTTCAGATAGTCAGTGGCTGTGGCCAGGTTTGAACCTTGCACTGTACTATTTTCCAGCAGTAGATAAGGCATGAGCAAGAAAGCCAAAAGGAGAGCCTAGTTTGCCACTGTCCAGGGTGGCCTCCCTTAGTTACCACTGCTCTGGAAATTCACTCTTCATTCTAACACATAGTCTTCATTGCCACCACTGAAGACTTCTTCATGACTCTGCCACCCTTAGCATTGGCAGCACTCGTAGTAGTACCAGCAGTGGTTCCATCTGTGGACATAGCCAACACTGTGCATTATCTTACTTAATCCTGTGACGTGCCCTTCCCAGTGTTAGGCAGCTAGCCGACATTGGAAATAGGATTCAGATCCAGGCCTGCTGATTCCACATCCTGAGATTGTAACCAAAGAGTGTATGTTCCATGTGTACCTGTGGCCTGTTTTGTAGGCTATAGCTGGCTAGACTCTATAAACTAAAGGAAGAATAATCTGTGGGATGTGCGCCCCCTGCTGGCTCTGCATCAAGCATAAACCAGATGGCAGCGTTTCCTCAAGTTGGTTGTTTATATTGGTGGAGAACCAGCAAGTCAGTCCCTCTGTTACCTTTGGCTCCACTAGAAGCTAAGAGAAAAACAGCAGAGGGTTAAGAAAGGAAGATCTAAAAAATTAAGACTATATTAGAAGTGGTTAGTAGTGCTTGAAAATACACTTTTTACATGATTTCAGTGTTGCATATCAAAGGACTTCAAATGTTAAGTGTAAGATCCTCCATCGCCTGTAATCAGGGCCCAGTTTCTGGAGACTGAGTTAGGCAGCTGCTGATTGAGACTGCTGAAAACCTGATCTTGGTTAGCTGTAAGCTGAATCCTGTGTGTGCATGGGGAGTGGTTTCCCTGATAAAGCCTAGTGGACTCCCTCTACCCGCACCCTGGGACACAGCAGGTTCCTCCAGCCCCCCACAGCTCAGCCACATCCTGCCCCACAGCTGGCAAACCCCTGCTGGTGCAGACTTCCCAGGCACCAGACTATATGCTTAATGCTTGTCATGGTCTACATGCCAGAATAAGCAGGACCGTGTGCAGGAAGAGAGTGTGTGAGGGTTGAGTTAGGTAGAAGTTACACAGCCAGAGAAGGGAGAATTTTGGGATGGAGAGGGAGGGACAAGGAGATTGTCTCTTTAGATTTTGAAAATGCACTGTCTTGCCAAAGAACAAGAAAAGTTCCACGATGTGGTACGGTAACAAACCTGAACAGGGAAGGCACATCCAGCTCATAACAAACACCTTGACACATGATAGCAATGACATTAATCACCGCACCTGCTGAGCTGCGTTATAACCACTATGGCCAAGCATTTGATTTGGGGACTGGTCTTATGTCCGGTCTATCAGGGAAGGAATGGAGGCTCCAACGCATTAAGATACATTATCAAGATCCACTCTCAGGAAGTGGCTATGCCAAGGTTTGGCTCCACTCTATTCCTAACCACTTCACTGTGGTTTTGGAGAAATCAAAAAATTCTTCCAACATAAAAACAGCTGCCTTCCAAAGTATGAGCTTCCTAAATGCAGGCTGCATGTTAGCAGGGCCCTTCACATGTGGTGAGGGTCGGGCTGGCTTTTCTCTGAGCTCCTTTTCCAACCTGCAGTGTTGTGAGTCTTCTCGGGGTTTGGGGCAAGGCACGAGAGAGGCCAGGAATGTTTCCACTGGGTCCTTAGAGCATATCTCCTGTCATGCTCTTGTGACGACACGTTCGTACTGGTTGAATGAGAAAGCTGGTATCGGAATGCTTACCAGTGGTGTGAGATTTGGGGCAAATGACTTCACGGCTCAGCCTGATTTCAGTTGGTACAGCGGGCGTACTAGGACCACTCTCATCATTGCTGCGACAATTACAGTTAGCAGCATCCCTGGACCTATTGAGCACTCCACACATGGTTTTTGGAACCTGAATGTCTTTTAGAAATGTAGCAGGAAATTGGGCCAGACAGATGGAGGGATCTGGCTTGGGAAGATCTGCTCACCAGGTGTTTTGGACTCTATTGAAACTCAGATGGGAGCCAGAATATCTTTTTCATTATTTTTTTTTTTTAGTAGATAGTAAATTCATGTGGTCAAAAATCTATAAGCATAAAAGAATGGAAGGAGTCTTCACTACCTTCTAGTTCCTATCCCATCCCAGGTAGGAATCACCTTTGCTAGTTTCTTGTTTTTCCACAGATTTTAGTACATGGACAGCATAATATGGACATATTCTCACCCTCCTTTTTAAAGAGAA